CTTCATCAAAGGTTGTCAGGTTAGTTAAGCTTCATTTCTGCTTCCTAAATCTAGGCTGACTACTTGTGATCTCTCCCCTGCCCCCCTCAGTTAGTTTGGTGTTTGGTTTTTTTTTTATTTTTTTTTTTTTTTTCAAGGTTACTTTCAGGGTTATTAGCTCCATTTACTTCCTAAAATCCAGCTGAGGCCAAGTGGCCTCAGGTCCTCTTTCTTGCCCATCTTTATGGTTTGCTAGAACCTTCAGCCTGTGAGCTGAAGGCACGAGCAAAATGAATGATTTCACAAACTTCTGTGCAAAATTCTAGTTCGGCATGCAGTTACACAGAGACTGATACACGTGCCATTTCTTAACGTTGCAGCTTTCTTGTTTCTTCTTATGCCAGGGGCATTGTATTGTCACAATTTAGATAGCTTCTGAGTTTCTGCTGGTTAAAAACAAGCTATTCAAGTTTTGGGGCCACTTGTCCATCTGAAGCAAAAAGATACAGATGTTTCTTAAATGAGACAGTTAAATTTTAGGTATGTTTTAACAGATTGGAGTTGTCCTTTAAAATAACATTTTAAGCAGTCCCAGGTAATACTTTTTCCCTGAAACATTCTGCAGTTCTTTTAAACTTTTGATTTGGGCAGATGCATTTCTCTGAATTGAGTGGCTTCATTGGCGGAGGGCTGAAACATGGAACAGAATTAATTTGCCTTAACAAGCAGCTTTGTGTCAGCTGAACCACAGTGACTGATGTTGAATGTGTTTTTAACCTATAGCAAATACAAGATAGAATGTGTTAGCTCATACCTTAATGAAAGAGTTGAAGCAAGTGCATTTTATCTTTTATTTGTAATCACCTAAGAATGCATGGATAGTTTACTGTAGCTTGGTAAATGTATGGTATTAAACTCATACATTAGAGCTCTAGCTCTTTCATAAAGCAACAATTTGGATGAGGCAGTGCCCAATCTTCTTCATTAGGTATGTGATTTTTGAATGTTGGGGAGCTCGTGACTCATTATCTGTCCACCTCTGCTTGTTCTACTGATGCTTTTGCTCCAGGACTAAATGGGGCAAAAGTGACTATCTGAAAAGTGCAGCAAAAAGCAGTCCACAATAAACCAGCACAGATAAATATTTGGTATTTCTTTAGCAAAAAATACTGATTGCTAATGGCACGTGTCCAGTTGATCACACTTGACATATTGAAATGCATGTGCCTACAACATGTACCAGTACTTAGGTGTGTTTCTCCTCTTTCCAGTTTTACTTTGGTGACAGATGTTTTATTTTTTTCAATCCAAGTCCCATCCCTCAGCATACTTTAGGTCACTTCTTAAAGGTATTTTGTCTTCTGTAGGTATTTCTCTTATCTCCTTCCACATTTGACTTAATGTTGCTTTAATTTTCTCTGAACAAATTGAACAAGACAATTACTAGATTTTTATTTATTGTGATCACTCATTCTTCGGGGATGGGAAATTCTGCTGGGAGAGATCTCTTTATTTTACTCACTGGAAATTATACAAGGCTTGTTAAAGAATGCAAAGACAGGCTGAACAGCAATTGTTGCTTCCATTCTTTGGTGGTACTTGACCTTTCTTCAGGTGGACTCATCGTTTGATTTTAATTTTTCCTGTGCTGTGTGCCAGCTACTCTCTTTCCTCTGTTCTTCTCTCTTTCTCTTGGTTCCTGATACTGCTTTCCGTGAACTAACTCCCCGTTGCTTCCTGTTCTCTCCTGCATGGCTGAGTAGTGCTAATGCTAAACCTTCCTCAGGTCTTTGTCCCTTCCACTTGACACAGAGCCTTTGGATTGCAACTGTCCAGCCCTCTCTTAAAGGAGCAGCTTCCAAGTAGCTAACTGCTGTCTGAATATCAGTTGATAAGGAAAAGAACTGTTGCTTTATCTCTGCCCTCTAAGTATTTTTCACACACGGCTGAGGCACAGCAAACAAACTCTGGTCTACTAGGACTGTGCTGTAAAGATAGTAAGCCAGTGGTCCATGGATGTTGCTGCTAATTCATCAGTGCTAGAACTTTGAGTTACTACAAGAATGCTTAATTGCTCGAAGATGCCGTGAAAGTTACAACTCTTTTTAATAGGAAAAAAGAGTCCAAGAAATGTCCTAGTAGCTCAGCAGACTATGAGAAAGGGTATAACAGTCAAGCTTGTTATGACAGGTTAATGACCAGTTGAGGTTAGAGATCACCCTTAAGTACTCTTTACCATACAGGTTTTTTTTTTATGCTTTTATACTAGTAATTCTGATATCTGCCAGATAGTTTCTTGAAAGCCTCACTGTCTCGTTGCTCCTCCCTCCTCATGATTCATCTGGTAGTGTCTGATAGAGCTAGTTGTAAGAGCAGCGTGTGTGTAACAGGCATTTCATATACTGTGTGTAGCAATATTTACATATCCACATGCGTGGCTAACCTGAACTTCTCCATGGACTGATAAATGCATCTATTAGAAGAGTGGCTCTGTTGTGCTAAAACCTTTACAGAACAGGATTTGAGGGAAGATTGCACTGGATCATGAAAAGGTGAGGAGAGATGTGTGCCCAACCTGGAAAGGGCAGAGGCCGTTGAACGGCAGTATGGGAATCAGCGTACGTTTGGGGAGGAGAATAACGGCGTAGGTCATTTCCGTGTCATAAAGGAAACGGGTTTTCTTTGAACTGTTTCTGGACAGGATACTGATAAGTTGTACGTATAAGTAGATGCAGACATGCTATTATGTATTAGTTCAGTCCATTTACAGCTCGAACATTCAGTATTTGCTTGTACATGATCTTAAATCAGTGGGAAATTATATTCGACTTGTGATGGTTCCCATTACTTTCTCTTTCCCGCTTGTTCTAACATACTACCAGCACAATATATGATATGTTTATTTTATAATGACATATTAAACATATAACAGTCATGTTTTTACTTTTGGTGTTTTCCGACTGATGTTTACCTATGACTTTAATAGGTCTTTTGATACTGCAGTTAATAAGTATTTATATACAAGTGAATTGGGTAGTTACGAGCTTTCTTAGCAGCATTTCAGCAACCAGTACCTACATGTAAACAATATTAAATAGAAGAACATAAAGCTAGTGTGGTAGTAGAGGAAAATGAAATTTTTTGATACTATGATGTGATAAGGAATATTGCATAATTTTTTTCTAATCTCATTAATTTTAAGCTTGAAATGTTAAAGGATTTAAATATGTTCTTTAAATGAAAGGCTAATCAGTATAGGAGGAAAAGAAAAATAACAAAATGGAATTATCATTACTCCTTTTTCTCTTTCTGATCCATGAAGCATTAAGGCCATGAAATTAGTTTTGTTCTGATGATGTCTACTTACTGATAAACTACCTGAAAGATTATATATATCTTTGAGGGCAAAAGAAGGTTAGCATTTTTATATTTTTTTCCCCCCAACAATTATTATTTGTACAGCTCTTGACAGGAATTGGAACCAAGATTTGTGTTGCTGGAAATTAAACTTGCCAAGCACAGTAAAACTTATTTTATTTAGTAAGTGTTCAGAGTATTTTCTTGTACATGTAAACATTTTAGCCACACAGGTGGGAATGGGGTAAGAAAGTGAAATCCCCACATATGCTGTGGACTAAATTCACTTGGATGCCTGGGGCAGGATTCACCCAGGCTGGCTAGTCTCAATGCCATATCAGAGAAGAGTAAGCTGTGCACTGTATGTTGTATATCCAGGTTTTATTCTAAAGAAAGTGGAAGTGTAGCATCAGAAGGAAGCTGCAGTACGTTCTAGTAACTTCCCTGCCAGGAGTAATCACAGGATCAGTGCAGAAGGACAAACTAGAGGTTTTCTTTCTATGCCCTGAATATCCCTCCAAAAAGACAACATTTTGTTCACAGAGCTGAAGGAATTGTAAGACAAGTTAGTTTCTTGTTGCTAAACATTAAGTTATTCCATTGTTTTACTGTAGTGCCATAAAGCAGATAAGGAGAAATGTAACTACATCTTTTATAGATTGATGGTTATTTACAGTAGCAGGCTGGTTGACTACACAAATCTGTGCTAAGCATTGCACGATGTTAAATCTAATTCTTAATACTCTGTTCTGAAAAAGCTTGCTTTGGTAAAGAAAGGTAAGTGCAATTTACCTTTTCTTTACTGAAAAAGAAACAAAAGCATACTACATCAGTCTTTAGGTTCTTTAATCTGTAACCATCTGGGGGGGTGTTCTGAAATACCGACCTTTTCTATTGTTCCAACTTAATAAAGACAACTTCCTCCCCTCCCCCAACAGATACATATGACTAATCCAACTGTGATTTCAGCGTAAGAGTCTGCCGTTCAGAGGCCTTCCTCCCTAGTGAAACAGTAACTCAGGCGAGCTCATAAATACTAGGATTTTGTGTTATGTGTAACTTAAACTGAGGCTATCCAGTCTTTCCATCAATGTGACTGAGCCACCTCTCGACACTCCCCATGCCGCTGAGAGTCACATCATGCACGTCTGTACCACGTACAGCAGTGTCAAAAGGCAGTGGAGCTGTGGGAGGTAGAGGTGATGCTGGCATCATGGCGGTTCTTCCACTTCCGTGCAGTCTGTGCCAGGCTAGGTAAAGAGTGTAGCTGAGTCGCAGGGTAACCTGGTGATGACAGCTACACAGCCCCTGCTGGCTGCCTTCTTCCCACAGCCAGGGATTTGGATTACCCAGCAGCCCCCACACCAGAATAACCCTGCTGCTGGTCCCTTGATGTAGCCATGGCACAGGACCTGCATTTGACCTGCTCACGAGCAGCATGCAGCTCATGATCCACAAGTTGTTTACCCTGATTTAGGCGTCAGCTCACTTACAAAATGTGTATTTTATAGTTCTAATCCAGTTGCTGTTGTTCACATGGGCAGTACTGCGTGTTTTCCAGTAGTGTATCAATCTCTAGTGTTGAACTGCATGACTGTTGTAGCATATAGTCTGTATATCTCTTGTTTTAACTGTCTTTTCTTTTTTCTTTTTATTCAGACAGGAGATTTGGCTTCTGTGCAACTAGCAGGAACTCCAAATAGATGGGAGGTCTTGTCTGCAGCTCCTGCCACTATAAAGGATGAAGCTGGTAATATAGTACAGATTCCAGGTGCTGCCACAGTAACTTCAAGTGGGCAGTATGTCCTTCCTATTCAGAGTTTGCAAAATCAACAAATCTTTTCTGTTGCACCAGGATCAGATTCGTCGAATGGTACAGTGTCTAACGTACAATACCAAGTAATACCCCAGATCCAGACAGCGGATGGTCAGCAGGTTCAACTTGGCTTTGCAGCCTCTTCAGATAATAGCAGTATAAATCAAGAAACTGGTCAAATTCAGATCATTCCTGGCTCTAATCAAACCATCATTGCCTCTGGAACACCTTCAACTAATATTCAGAATATCTTATCACAGTCTGGTCAAGTCCAGGTTCAGGGAGTTGCAATTGGTGGTTCGTCTTTCCCTGGCCAAGCACAAGTAGTTGCTAACGTCCCTCTTGGACTGCCAGGAAATATTACTTTTGTACCCATCAATAGTGTTGATCTAGACTCTCTGGGACTTGGCAGTGGTTCTCAAACCATGACAGCAGGCATTAATGCAGACGGGCACTTGATAAATACTGGACAGGCCATGGATAGTTCAGATGCTTCTGAAAGGACTGGGGAGCAAGTTTCTCCTGAAATTACAGAAACCACCGCTGATAATGACTTATTTGTGCCAACGTCATCTTCATCACAATTGCCCGTTACCATAGACAGTTCAAGTATATTGGAACAAAATGCAAACAACTTGACCACAACTAGTGGTCAAGTTCATAGTTCTGATCTTCAGGGAAATTACATCCAGACAACAGTCTCTGATGACACACAGGCCCAGAATATTCAGGTCTCCACAGCACAGCCAATTGTCCAACACATACAGCTTCAAGAGTCTCAGCAGCCAACCAGCCAAGCCCAGATAGTACAAGGTATTGCGCAACAGACAATCCACGGTGTGCAAGCAAGTCAAAGTATATCTCAGCAGGCTCTTCAAAATCTTCAACTGCAGCTGAATCCTGGAACTTTTTTAATTCAGGCACAAACAGTGACCCCTTCTGGGCAGATAACCTGGCAGACATTTCAAGTGCAAGGAGTTCAGAACTTGCAGAACTTACAAATTCAGAATGCACCTGGTCAACAAATAACTCTAACGCCTGTGCAGACTCTCACTCTTGGTCAAGTTGCAGCAGGTGGGGCATTGACGTCAACTCCAGTTAGTCTAAGCACTGCTCAGTTGCCAAATCTACAGACTGTTACAGTAAACTCTATAGATTCTGCTGGCATTCAGCTGCATCAAGGAGAAAATGCTGGCAGTCCTGCAGGTATTTATTTTATTCTTTTTGAAGAAAATTATTTTTTATTATTGCATGTGGTTGCTTTAAATGGTGATAATTGTTACATTATTGTTTTACTGCAGAAGCCTACCAAATACGGTGGTTTAAACACAGTGATAACAGATTTTATTTGAAACTACTGTTCCATTAGAAACTGCTGTAATGGTAGAATATAGTCCCACCTCACTTCTTTTAGTATAAGCTCGTGTAACTCCCAACTGGTCATATTAGTTAACTGCTTCTAATGCAACGTTAATCAGTGCTTTTAAGTCTCACTAGGCAGAAGACCTGCATACTAAACTGAGAAGGGAGAAATCTGACTATCAACTGCCATGTAAGAGCAGCAGTATCATTAGCATAGCCTATTCTTTGCAGTCCTGAATAGATGGAGTTTTTGTGGAAAATCCAAATATATTTGTTGATATGAGTTTTTTTTTCCCTGAAAATTTTCAGACCCCTTGGTGGTCTGTTATTCATCCGCTGTTTTGTTAACTCATTTCCTACCGACTTGATCTCAGTGTAACTGCAATGTACAAAACTCATGTAAGCAGAATTGAAACAAGCATGTAAATATCAAAATGAAGGCTGTGCCTAAGAAGCTATGTGAATTGCCAGTATTACCTATTTGTGTTGTTTCAGAATGTACGGTTGTTAATTATAAACTTTACAGTGTGTTTAATCTCTGTAAGCAGAGAGGAAAGGCTATTTGCTTAAAATAGGTGTTTCTTAATATGAGAAAAAATAAACATGACTGCTTATTTTTAGTAAATTTGATACAACGTATTGCAAATTTCAGGGCATAGCTACCTAAAAGAAAGAATAAGAAATGATTGAGGTTCAAGACATTTTGCTGTACCAGAAGCCATTTAATCTCATCATAGCAGGGTTGTGCCCTGTCTAAGTTATGAGGGGCAGAGTGAGCAATAGAGGTAAGTTGGGAGGGAAGTGTTGTGTAGGGTAGCTTGGAAATCACTGTTTTACTATAATCATGTGACCCAAGGCTCTGGTTCATTAGCATACTGAAACGTTTAAGTGAAACATACATGTTTTGTATTGTATGTGTGTTTTCCTAGTTCATTTTAGTTTGGAAGTGACTTCTGCATTATGGACTTACCAAGGCAAAATTACCTAGACCTAGATAAGCTTGCTCTTCATTGGCTTCTAGGCAACAGCACGAGAGCATTTGCTCTGCTAGGTCATCTTGATTCTTTAAAGCCTTCTGTTTCCACTGACCACAGAAAATCTTGGTTTGTCTCCATCACACTGTGTTACCTATGAGGACACAGAGTATAGACATCAGTAACGAAAAGCACGTATTGTGCGTGATAATACAGCTAAACTAAGGTGTCAGAATCTAACCCTTGGAAAAAGCACCCTGTGGCTAATATAAAATACAGGGAGGCTGAGAACGTCTTTAGTTCTGAGATTTGTATTTGTTATAGGATCGTGTAGTGAATGTTATTGCTTATAGAGTAATGTGGCAGAAACTTGAGTAGAGAGATGGAAAGGAAAGCAAGAGAGGAACTTAAAGAGAAAACAGATGAAAAAGAAGTTGAGCCTGCTGTGTGTATTAGTTGTTCTTGTGACAGCCCTTGAGAGCATTTTAATTGTGGTTCGTAATAAAATGCAAGAGAGTTCCATCAAGCATTCCGTAACTGTGTTGTCCTGTGAGGAATTTCACATGGGAAGGGAAGAGGGTAAATGAGATACGTGAAATGTGATTAATAGGCAGAAGCAGCAGATGAGTAGCAGAGGCTATTGCCTGAAGTGAATAGCTATAAACACCTGGTTATAATAAAGAGAGGGTGGAGATTTATAGTGACATTTTTCCTACACGTCTAGGAATAGTAAATGAAATGAAAGGTATTGACTAAAAGTGCCATCCCCTAAACTTGGGGAGAATTTAATGGGTCCCTCCTTTATGTTACAAGAAACTCAACTTTTCCAAAATAACAGTAATTGTGAAACTGCGTCTAGCAGAATCAGACTGAATTATCTTGATTGACCTTCAGTGTCTTTTCCATATGCATCTGGTATTTTGTCTGTATCAAAGTTGTCTGAGATAACGTTTTTCAGTGATGCTTTTCCCCTTATTTATAACCTCTTACAATATGATGTGGCACTCTTTCTTCAGGTCTAAGGATAAACGTGCAATTAGAAGCAAGTAATGAAATTCTGAATAAAAAATTTTGCAGTCAAAAATTATTGTTCTTCTGACCTGCAAATGAGGAAAACCAGTTTAGTTTTAAACTGAAAGAGGAAGGTATGCAGAAGGAACAGCAGAATGAGAGAAGTTAAAGCTAAAGGGCGAGAAGCTACATGATTCCTCTTTTCTGCAAAACATCAACAAACTTTGAAGCAAGAAAAGTAGGGTTTCCTCGTATTTTCTTCCCCCAGACTGTAAAATGTGCTTTGTTCCATAACAAATACAATTTGGCTGTATTTTCTGTTTTCATTTAGCAAAACTTTTCTACCTGAGGCAAAAGTAAAATGAACATATTCCTAATCTTGGGTCAGAGATGGTTGGTAATTATCTGAAGTCCAAAGAACATAGATTGCTCTGTAGCTGTGAAAACTGTGGGTTAGGTTTTAGGTTTTGGTAACTACAGCCTGTTGTGTGAGATGGGTTCTTCCAAGCTTTGCTTCCCAGGTGAGCAGCAGGGGACATCTTTACTGTTCTCATCAATACATGAGAGGAGGAAATGTCTTTACCTACGTTTGGTTTACATAATGGATAGTCATTACAACCCTAATACAAAGCTAATAGCTTTGTCCAGTAAATGTACAATTTTCTTTGAAGAATGTCCAGTAATTATGCTTCTACCAAAACATCCATTTTGCGAGGCATACGTATGCAGAGACTTCCACTGCACTGATTTTGTTCTGAAAAGTATTGGCTGAGCTTGTTTAATTCTAAAATTTTTATTAGAGCTTATGTTCCTGACTGTGCTTATTGTTATCTTGTGGAGAAGGGGAGGGTATTGGCTAGTCACAGCTGAAACTTTCTTCAGCATTGTTTCACAAAATGGAAAGCTGTATCAAATAGTATCTGCATGTTAAACACTGGCAAAGAGGTATCTTTGTCACCTGTGTTCTGGCTTTGGTCATCTGGTCTTGAGAGGAAGTTAAACCTGAGAAAGCTCTCTAGTAGTCTACTCCTTTTGTTGGCAGCTTGTAATAGAATATTGCACTGTGTGTAACAAAAAGAACCATTATGCACACAGTTCACATTACTCTTCATCAGCTTACCTGTTCAAGAAAGGTACTTATAAAAATAAGGAAAAATACAAGGTACTGAAATGTACCAACTTGATTTTCATGTTTATGATCCTGTGAGATTTGTCAGTTTGAAAGAATTTTTAAGTTACTGGATTTTTTTTTTCCCCCTCTGAAGCCATTGTCCTGACAAAGGAGACTTCACAGTGTTAATCAAAATCTAATCGTAATATTGTCTCAGCTAATTCATTGATGTGCTAAATAACATTTTGGATTGGTTATTTTCTGAAAAAAGGCAATTTTACCAGGTTTTATCTATGTTGCTTAGCTTTTTATAAGATGCTGGATGCTTTTTTTTTTTTTGATACTTGGACTATTTCAGTAGCATCTGAAGAAACTAACAAGTGACCTTAAAGAAAGTAGGCTTCAGAAGGGAATTTGCTATGTATCAACTCAGATGCATTCAGCTGGAAGATTTATTTAAAGATAAAAAAATCTACAAACATACCATTCCGTTTTGGAAAACTAAAGTCAAAGGGATTCCTTTCAAGAGTTGTGTCAAAGTGTCACTACAAAGCTAAGGTCTTCGTTTCTGCATCTTTCTCTCCAGCTCCTTCTCTAAAGGAGTATATACAGTCATGCCTTTTGATCAACTTATACTAGTTAATAGAGAGGAGGAGTGGTTGGCTATTTATGGTGGGTGCTTTATAACATTCCTGCCAGAACCTGAGGTCTTTACCATGCTGAAATAATACAACTAAATTTCACCAAAAATTTGGCTGACAATTTTCAAAATAGTTGCTCAAACGACAGTTTCTTTCATCGCTGTTTTCTTATGGGGCTTTGGTCTAACATTTGTTAGGTAGAACAGTCTAAACGCCCAAATTAAATTAAAAAATGAGTTTTTACAATTTTACTTTCAGGGATGGTTGTTTCAATGTTTTAATGCTTCTGTTGAAGTAGTGCAGATTGCTACTTAAAGCATAGCTTTCTTCTGGTACTGTAAACTTTTGACTGGTTTTCAGTATTGCACAACTTAATTTTTCTCTTTCTTTTAAAATTCCAATTTTTAACCTTATTAATTTTATTGTTAGGCAATTTTTCCTTCTAAGTAATTTTTTTATACCAGGCTTTTGAGAGAAGGGGGTGTTGTTTGTTCTGCCAATGACCAGGCCCAACAAAAATAACACAGCCAGCAGGAAGATGAACCAATACACAGACTGTATTGTAAACAAAAAGAACATTGCATGAATGATCGCTGGGGGTACAAACAGATCAATCAGCTGGTACATAATTGATGTCACCCCCAATGATCCCACAAAAGATGTGACTTGGCCCACAACAGGTGGTACAGACAGAGACCCGAGGTTGCCCACAGTTGGCATGGGAAAAAGCAAAACTAGTAAGTTAAATACATAAGAAAAAGGTGCCCACATGGCAACTCTCATCCAACTTGCCCGTGTTCACAAAGGCCTAAACAGACTGGGGCCCAGCTCCAGGGCGAGTCAGGAGGTCTGCCCTGAACCAGGAAGCTCTGTGGAGTGCACTCCACAGACAGACACTCCTGACTCCCTGCAAGTGGTCCCAGCTTTTATCCCCAAGCAGACACCTGACCTTTGTCAACTCAATGCGGGACCCCTGGGGCTCATTTCCCTTCTGGCTCTCCCTGCAGGGCCGGCCGCACCCTGGGGGGAAGCTATAAGGCAAACTCACCACCTCTTTATGAAGGGCTGTGGGAATCACCCATATGTCAACCTTAATTCAGGGCTCAG